CGATCGGCCTGGGCTTTTACCCTTACACAGAGAGCCAGTTTCATCAAGTTGTTTATTCCAACGATAAATGCTCTTCCTCGTTGGAGGTTGGATGTTAAACTTACGACGAAATGCACGCTGCATTGCAGTCGCATACTCACTTTTACTGAATTCACGAACGCAAAAAATCTTGTGTTGCATAGCAGCCATCTCGCTTACAACTGAAGCAGTGCTGGAGTGCTCTAGCGGTAGTATTAGAAATTTTACAACATCCTCTTTCAAATGTACTTTACATAATTCAAATGCAACATATAGTTCAGGAAACACAGCCAACTGAAATTGTGTCCATCTTTCTGAATCACTCTGTATAAATATATTTTCATGTATTGATAACAGTAAGGACTGATGTTGTGCCCGGATAGGGGGCAGTGACTGTACTCACCCCCTATCGGACGTCCGTGGATATCACTTAACCTATGCTGCGGAAAACATGCTTCACTAGGAGGGTCACAAAAACTCGAGTTCTCCAAACAACAAAAAAAAATGGAATATATAATCAAATTAAAACACTTATACACCTCTAAATTCTAAAAACACATTAACCCACCAAAATAATTGAAACCAGAAGTTCTAATAAGCCATCAGTGACCTGACCATGGGCAAGTACTCACTCGCGCTAAACATGATTCACATGAAGAACACTGGCGCCATCCCAAGGTTTTCCACAGGCACACTTTGCTCTACTCGTTCGTTTCTGGCCACTGCTAGAAACAGAGTGCCTGAAACAGCCTGTTTTCTCAATTCCAAGATTCAGCTTTTTCCCAAGTTGCGAAAGCTGCGCGTGCGAAATCCCTGAGGTCGGCATCTTGCTGGACTTGCCTTGTCACGCAAAGCGAAACCTGACCGGGGCTCTCCACTGATGCTTAAACAGTCTTTTCTAAAGACAATTCGATCGACTGCCAAGGAATGCGAAGAGTCAGCCGCGGCTGTCTCCTTGCCTTCCGGCCAGCCGTCTAACATTTCAACCTAAGCACACAATCTTACAAAAATTATACTTAATAACTAAT